ATCCTGCATTAGCCTCTTGGCACTTGGTCTCCATTATCTGACTCATCTCACAGATACAGTCAACATGGAGTACCTACCATGTAGATGATGAAAAATCTGCCACCATAGTCATTCTAAAAGTGACTTTCATTGTGACTTCCCTTATGCAAGAACCAACATCTCCTATTTATTATCTGCTTATAATATACACACTCCGTTAGGTGATTTTCAAACCATTATAATCCAGTCCTATACACAAACTTGGCAAGAGTTTGTGTCTGCCAGTGACTGATGTTTTATCAGACTCTATCCTTTTCCCATCCTATTTCTGTGTATGTTTCTAAATTTCTTTCATGGATTTCCTACTTAAAGTGGTCTTTCTTTTCTCCTGCACACACACCTATCCAAATTCTATAAATGCTTGGAGACCTACCCTCATCATACTCACAAATCAGCCCTTACTGCTCTTTCAGTTCTCTGCATCTCTGTACATTCAGAACTTCAATGACATGTTTAGATGAAATAGATTTATCTCTTCTATTAGACTGCAAATAAGGATATAGTGTAGACACCTTATAATTATTTTGTGGAATTGGCTTTTTTGGGGAAGACACTTGTATTTATCATGATGTTAAGTCATTTACTTAATTATTGATTAATTGATGATTAAATGACCCCTATGTTTTCTAGCATTAATGTCCCTTCATTCCAAATCCCCTGACTAGATCTTAGAATATACTTATTAACCGGGCTCGGTGGCTCACTTCTGTAATCCCAGCACTTTGGGAGGTGGAGGCGAGAGGATTGCCTGAATTCAGGGGTTTTAGACTATCCTGGGCAACTTGGCAAGACCTCGTCTCAGCAATAAATCAAAAAATTAGCTGGGCCTGGTAGCGCATGCCTGTAGTTCCAGCTACTTGGAAGGCTGAGGCAGAAGGATCACCTGAGTCTGGCAGGTTGAGGTTGCGGTGGCTGTGGGCATGCCATTGCACTCCAGCCTGGAAGACAGAGTGAGATTCCAACTCAAAAAAAAAAAACCAAAAAGGAACTTATTTACTTAAAAATCCTGATGAGATTTTCAACTATTTTACCCCAAATCTAAAATGAAAGTTCAGTTGACACAAGCCACACTGCTTTTTCACTTTTAGTTAGTTAATATTTTTTGCTGTTGTTATAATTTTTTTTCCAATTCTTATTTCTTTCCATGGAGATGTAAAAACATCTAAAGCTCTGTGGAGACAACTAGACAGCAATGTTATCTAATAATTGAACTTAGTTTTTTTCTTTATAGATTAAAAAAAACCCCTTAAAGTTGCATAAAAATTCACTTCAGAATTTTGAAAATGCATTTTACTTTACTGAATGCTAACTATGAAAGCAATTTTTTCTTCAGTAGTTTAAAAGTGTAATTATTCATTTATTTTTATTTTTTAATAGAAAAAATGCCAAAACCTGTGTTATTAGGGAGTTGGTTGTACACGTCTTTAACTCATGTTGACCTGAACAATCTGTAAATGAGTTTCTTTCCTAGTGGACTTGTTGGTTCCATTTAATTTCAAAGTCTGGACATTCCACATAGGATTAAGCAAAGTAGCGCCTGTCATTTCTGTTTGGTTTTTTTTTCCCCCCTTAGAAATACTCATTCCCTCTGTGAGCCAAATATTTTAGTTACATCGGAGACCCGTATGCTATGTTGAGTGAGTGAAGCCAGCCCAGTTTCTCCCATAGAACTGATATATATGAACTCTTTTGAATAAACATGAAAACCGAACCTCCCAGTCTTAACCTTAAAATTTGACTTATCTGAATTCCTTCCTCAGGAGACTGACCCTCAGTCAAGAAACTAAAACTCACCAGAATACCACATCCAGACCATGAAACTCCAGACCCCACACATGGCATGATTGCTTCCTTACTAATCTCAGTGATTGGCTTTCTGTGCACCAGCCCCTATTGTGTTGTTTCAACAGCAGTAGACTCATTAGCTTACTTTATGTGTGTTGTGAGTTGTCACTAGGAAAGACATTCTACTGAGACATAGGGCTTGTTTTTAGTTTTGACAAAAGGCAAACCTTTCCATTAAGACAAAAAAAAAGCCCACGTTTTAATTTCCTTATAGACATATAGAGGTAATTTAAAAACAGAAATCAGTATTTTTGTTTAACTTGTAAATAGTATTGTAGGCAGAAATACTATTTAAGAAGTTGTTATAAAATAATTCTCAGTTATTGTAATGTGAAACATTTCTATAGTTATTTCAAATTATGGGTTTGGAAAGGAAGAGTTAAAAGTGGGTCTATAGTTTTCCCACTTTTTCTTTTAACTTGGCCAATGTGCTTATAAATATTGACAGATGGATTTACTAGAGATAATAAATGAGGATCCTGAAGCAGTTTCTATGTACTGATTACTGAACTTGTAATGCTTTAAGCAGGATGTTTTTCTGTAAAAAAAAATTTGATTGCAAATAATCCTGCAATCTATGGATCTCTGAGCTGCAGCTGCACTGAGCAATGGTTAATCATATGGCTAGTACAGGGATATGGAAGACCCCAGAACCTATTAAACTCATCTTCTGCCAAGCAAGACATCTCCTGTTACAGAAAAGAAAACTTGAGAAGCTATGTCTGATGAATCCAGGCTTCCTGGAGGCTAAAATTGCTTAGGGTACTGTTCCTTTCTGGTATCCTTTGCAAATTATCTACTAAGCTTGTATTTAAGTGTCTTTGATCAGTTGGACCTCTGTGATCATGCAGTGTGTATTTTACTTTATTCAAATTAATTCTTTGTTAAAAGTTCTGTAATATCAGTAGACCATATGTTATTAGCCACATTTTAATTTAGAAAGGAACTTGTGTATGGCTATAATAATAGCAGTCAGAAAACCAGAATAGTAGTAACTATTTCTTTAGCTCTTATATATGCCAGATACTGTGCAAGACCTTTAATTAACTCATATTTTGCAATTATACAACTTGCAGAAGACTAAGATAAATCTAATAAAGTCTCAGCTTAAGAACACTTCTTTTGTATTGGCTCCATTTTTGACCCTGAAGGGTCTCCTGGAAATATGTTCACATGGTCATATAATTGGCAAAATTTGCCAAGGTAAGAAACTTTGACCATGACTAATTAAGAACTTTGTCTTTCCTCCTATTGTTGGGTGGTGTAAAAGGAGCCAGTGTGAAAGAAATTCAACTAGAGATTCACTTACTTGAGGTTTTTCTACTATATTTACATGGCATGTAATTATATGACTTGCAGTTAATTTTATGTAATTAATGCCAGCAATCCTAGTGTAAATGGCTCTCTGGAATAAATCTTTCACCCATTATGTTATGATGACCAAAAAGTTGTGAAGACAGAATTTGTACCATGGCATGTTTTCTGGTGGCTTGAATGTGAAATCTGTTGGCAGTGGAGGAGAAACAAGGTTTAATGTATACAGAATCAGAAACTAGTCTGTGAAAAATTCTCACAAATTTTATAGAGCATATATGAAAATAATGTCATAAAGTTTTTCCTAAATTTTAAAATTATTTTGAAATTTTGTAATACTTACAAATTAAAAGATATGAAGCAAATATTTCAAGGTAGACATAGTAAAAAGCATTTTTTTGATCTAGCATATTAGAGAAACTTACTCATCAGAAATTAAATAATAAAATTCTTTTTAAAAAAGGCACTCAAAAGAGATGGCAGTGGGAAAAAAAAGATAAAAACATCAGAGAAGTATTTCAGAAAGTTAATTAGTAACAAATTAGTAACATTGTTGTTTTCCTAAGTTTTCTAATTTTTTTCTTATGGGTATTTTTAATTAATACTATACCATAAAACATGGTATATTTTTCATTTATAATTTGTTAATTAAAACAAATGTAATTAAAATTTTCTTATTTTGTACCTGACTTTGTATTTGTAATTTCATCAGACTGATGATTTGCCCCACCCTAAAAAATCAAAAACATCTTTTTATTTTTCATATGAGTAAACTATACCTGCTGGGACCAGTGTGTGAGCCAATATTACTCAAACCAAACAATATAGTTCTGAGAGCCATCTGATATGCTATTTCTAGTCCATTGAACTGTCTTTCGTCTCAATTAAATCAATTATAAGGGAAAGAAAGTTATCTGATGTCATGCAGAAGACAATGTCCATATATGAAAAGAATAGAAAGATATAAGGCATTCGGTTATTTCTTCATTCTATTGAATGCCTAATTTAAGGTTTTTGTTTGTTTAAATAGAGACATTTACACGTTTTTTCTTTTCTTTCCTTTTTTTTTTTTGAGTAAGAGTCTCTGTGAGGCAGTGTGAAGTGCAGTGGGACATTCATGGCCACTGAAGCCTCGACCTGCTGTCCTCAGGCGATCCTTCCACCTCAGACTCCTGAGTAGCTGGAACTACAGGTACATGTCACCATGCCTGGCTAATTATTTATTTATTTATTGTAGAGACAAGGTCTCGCTATGTTGCCCAGGCTGGTTGTGAATCCCTGTACTCAGGCAATCCTCTCACCTTGGCCTCCCAAAGTGCTGGGATTACACGCATGAGCCACTGCACCTGGCCTAAAAAATTTCTGATGCAGGCTAATATACAAAATATTTTACCTTACTGCTATTATTTCATTAAATTGTCTGATGTATAGAATCCTCCTATACAATGATACAAATACTATTTTGTGTGTGATTTGGAGAATATATTACAAACACAATGTTCTGGGAATATTTTTCACACTAAAATTATGAACATGTATTTGAAAATTTGTAAAATGTTTAGTTATAAAAATGTTTCTGTGAGATTTTAAGTATAATCTATCTTTGTTTTATAAGTAGAGTATTACCATGTGGTGTTTACTATGTCACAAATGTAGGGGAATTAAACAACTTGTCTCTGAATGGTAATATGCTTATTCAGAAATGTAAAACTATTCTAATCTGGATGGTCAAGACAGAGAATCAAGTGTCTTTTCTACAATAGACAATAATTTGGAACTTATTTAAGAAAGAGAATGACCAATCCAGGTAGACAAGACTTGAGTTTATTTATAGGATTCATATCTCCCTTATTAAAAGGACATTTACAAACTTGATTTCAAAAATAAAAGAAATTCTGAATGACATATGTTCATGTTTTAATTTCAATATTACAGGTATGCTCTTTTGTGATAAATTATCAGTTGAAAATGTTCCAGTGGAGTCTGGTATCAATTAATTTAACATTTTATATAAGAAATAACACATTTATTTTCAAGTCTTACATATATTACTTAAAATAGATACAAAGTTCAGTTTGTAATTTTTATATTTTATTGCTATTTCAAGCTACCTGAAAGAAAATACCTTAGTGGAAAAAAAATGTTTTGATTGCCTTGAATAAGTATGACTTTTAAAACAAACACTGTCATTAACAGTTCAACCATATATTATTCAGAAATTAGGTAGGTCAAATGACTTATAAAATCATTCAAAAGGAAAAAAATAATATTTGTTGGGCAGATAAAATATCTGAGACTATTATAATATGCAACTTAGAATCAAATTCAAGAAGTCGATTGCTTAGAAAATCTGACATTGCACAAATTCATAAATAATTGTTAAATTTCCATCTTTAATATTAATCTGCATTACTGAAGCACACTGAAAACAATGAGATGAGATAAAGTAGAAAAAAATTGTACATATGATCGTTTGCTTGATGGAAGCACTGATTTGTTAAATTAATTTCTCATACATATTTCCCTGTTCAAAAATATAAACTTGTTTGTTTTCCATATATACAAGTATCCTGTGAAATCCTGGACTCTGAGAAAAAATAGTTTGAGGTATAGCATTGAATAAAGCATCAAAATGCATGATCTTTCTGGCTGAAATTCAGCGGAAATAATTGTCAGCAGAGAAGAGTTGATCGGAGTGTGCTTCCAAAAGTCTTCCAGGGTTTTGCCCTCTGAGAAATTTATTGGCGACATCAAATAATGGAACTCTTTGACATCAATATATACAAAGGCATTTTATTATTCACCAAAGAAAGGGAGTTAGAGTCGTCAGAAATTACAACTTTATTTTTTTTCATTATACATATATTTATTGCCATCATAATTCTGCAATTGTCATAAAATTAGTTAGGTGGAATTCAGGGACACGTGCAAGTTTTGGAAAGGGACACATAGATAACGGTATAGAACTGTACATAAAATAATTACAATTTATTAAACACACTGTTTTAGCACATCCTTGATGGATGAGAATGAGCACCATATCTTTTATGAATATATATTTTTCTCTTTTTGTTTTCTACAGCACCAAAGAAATTCAAATAGGAAAAGGAGAGATGAGAATTCGGAATCCAGAATCAGCCCTGTTTCCATCTCAGCCACACTATCTTATATCTTTATGATTTTCAAAGTTTTTGTCATGTGATTTTTTTCCCCCATAAAGGCATCAGTATTTCCTAAATGGTACCAGTATGTAGCATGTTGTTTTCTATACCATCCTTATTCAAAACTTGCATGTGGCACAAAATGGGTTGGTGGCACCAAGGTATATTTTCGGTTTTTTTTCATATGATGTCTGTCCTAATCTTAGCCAAGAAAGCAAACAGGACCAACTTCAAATCCAAACTTCTGATTCTGATCACCAAAGTCATTGATCATGACATCAACAATAGGTACTTGATCAATTTTTGGTGTATTTATTTCAATCACAGTCTTTTCATAGCCTTTTCTGGACTGTAAAATTAAGCAGAAATAAAAAGTTATAAAATCATTTGATATTTTAGAAATACATGTAGTTTTTTTTTAATAAGCTCTGAGTGAAGGTAAGAAGGTGAGAAAGAGTAAAAAAACAAATTTGCCATTATCTCTGTAATAACTCTTCTTTTTTATCTGATATAGTTTTAAATTTTTAATACTACATTGAATATTTAAATGTAATTGTTCAACTATGATACTCCAAAATAGCTCAGAGTTTAAAAGAATCTTATTGAGTCAATAAATACAATTTAATATGAAAATGTATATTGGTATTGTATCATCCTATATAAATAATATATCTTTACCACTATAGTTATAATTAAGATATATGTAGTCAAATTCTCTTGTGAAAAATTTGAATACAGGATTAGAATTATACTACATACAGAAAGTCGAAAGTCAAAACGTTTCTGCTGCTATATGTTAATATTGTGAATATTTAACAATGTACTAGTATTGGGAAAGCTTTCCAGAACATTTGCTTCATTAACTTGTTTTATTCTCTCTTCTTTCCTCCACTTGTACACCACCCATTTTGTTGAAGGCATGAACCTGTTTATTTGTAATGGTGATTTTATTCATCAATACTCAACTAAAGTCATGAGCTGTATAGTGTATTCTAGGAATCATTTTCCTTTTATGGAATTTTCATGTGTGTAAAAAAGATAGTTCTAGTAGTGAGTCCCAAACGAGTGTAATATAATACCAATTAACAAACTCCTTATAAACAAAACACAAGGGTAAAAATTATCTATGGTAGAAATGGTATAATGATGTTTTCTTTATCTGTCATTTTAAAATCACAGATTAAAAAAAGGCACATGACAGAAGGTTTTTATTCTCCTTTTTATTGCAGGAATAATCAGCTGTAAGATTATTCAAATATCAGGAATAATGAAATAATGTCTGATCCAAGATTACTATTGTTATGGCTTTAAAAATGCATCTGTCTATATGTTTCAGAGTGCCTGTGTGTGTACTTGGGTGTGTGAACATTAGTAGTTTCTAATATACTATAGTTTGACATATGAATGTTAAACATCAAATCTTAATAACAACTGTCATCCACTTCATCAGAGAAATCTGGCTTAGGACCAGAATGAGACAGTTATACACTGCCTTGCATCTCTATGAAGAAAAGCAAGCAGAGATTTATACTCACCGCACAGCCATCATACAGTGCTTTAATGAAAGGATTATTGTCATAGGATATCTCCTCATCATTTGATCCCAGAAACCGAACTGCCTTGTCATAACTTCCTGATGACACATCATACCAGGCTGCTGACTGATGACAGTTATAGGTAAAATTTTGCCGAGCAGAGGCGGTTAGAAGTTTCAGGAATGTCATTTGCACCATATTAATAGAATTTCCTTCAACATCTAAATATGAAAGCTAGGAATAAAAAAATAAAAAGGCATGTAAAGACTCTTTTCACCTCCAGAGGCTCAAGATAAAGGTTGGAGAAAGTTCTATGCAAATGAAAAATAAAAAGAGCAGGAGTAGTTATTCTTATATAAGATAAAAAAGGCTTTACACCAATAAAAGTTAAAAAGGAAGTGAAGGACACTACACAATGATAAAGGGTTCAGTTTATCAGCAAAAAATATTCATCTTGACTGTATTTGCACTCAAAATAGAAATACCCAGATTTATGAAACAACTGCTGATGAATCTAAGACATGACATAGATGACCATACAATAATTGTTGGAGACTTCAATAGCCCACAGAGAACTTTAGACAGATCATCAAGGCAGAAAATCATCAAATATCTGGAACTTAATCTCAACAATGGGCCAATTAGATTTAATAGACATCTACAGACACTCCAACCAAACCATAGAATATGTTTTCTTCTCATCAGTACATAGAACATACTCTAAGACTGACCACTTCCTCAGCCATAAATCAAGCATGAACAAATTTCAAACAGTTGAAATCATACCAACCAACTATCTTCTCCTACCACAATGGAATCCAAATGAATATCATCCCAAACAAGATCCCTCAAAAACACACAAATACATGGAAATTAAACAACATGCTTCTGAATGACTTTTGGGTTAACACAGAAATCAAGACAGACATAAAAAGATGCCTAGAAACAAATAAAAGCAAAGACACAACATAACAAAACCTCTGGGATACCATGAAAACAATGCTGAGAAGGAAGCTTATAGCATTGCAAGCACACATCAAGAAAATAGAAAGATCCCAAGTAAACAGTCTAATGACACACCTAAAGGAAATGGAAAGACAAGGAAAATTTAGCCACAAAGCTAGTAGAAGCATGGAAATTGTCAATGTAAAAACAGAGCTAAATGAAATAGAGACAGACAAACAAACAAACAAACAAAAAGCATACAACAGATCAATGAGTTGAAAGGCTGGATCTTTGAAACAACAAATAAGATTGACAGGCCACCGGCAAGATTAACAAGATAGACAGATGATTGACGCATTGGATAGATAGATAGATAGATAGATAGATAAACAGAAAGAAATATGGATGAGAGAAAATTCAATTAAACACAATCAGAAATGGAAAAGACAATTTTACAATGGACTGTGAAGAAATGCAAATGCTTATCAGAAATTACTACTAACATCTGCATGCATATAAACTAGAAAATACAGAGAAAATGAATAAATTACTGAAAATACACAATCTCCCAAGATTGAAACAAGAAGAAATTAAAACCCTACATGGAAGAAATTGAAATCCTATTAAGACTAATAATCCAAGAAATGGATCAATAATAAGAAACTTCCCTGACAAAAAATTAAAAAACAAAAAAAAGCCCTGACTATCAGACATAGTTTCTCATGTCTATAATCCCAGCACTTTGGAAGGCAGAGACAAGAGGACTTCCTGAGCCCATGGGTTCAAGACCAGCCTAGGCAACATGGCAAGACCTCATCTCTACAATAAATAAACAAAATTAGCCGAGTGTGGGGGTGTGACCTATAGTTCCAGCTATTTGGAAGGCTGAGTGGAAGGATCACCTTAGCCCAGCATACCACTGCACTCTAGAATGGGTGACAGTGAGACTCCAACTCCAAAAGAAAAAAAAAAAGCCCTGGTCAGATGGTTTCTTAGCTGAATTATACCAGGTATACAAACAAGAACGGATGTCAGAAATATTCCAAACAATCAAGAAGAAAGGATTCTACCCTAGCTCATTCTATGGAGTCAGTACTATCCTGACACTCAGGTTGGCAAAGATTGAACAAAAAAAGAAAAATACAAGCCAATTTTCTTGATGAATACAGGTGCAAAAATTCTCAACAAGATATTAGCAAATTGCATCCAACAGCACATTTCAAGGATCATTCATCAAGTTCAGGTGGACTTCATTCATGGAATGCAAGACTCAAGATTGATTCAACATATCTAAATCAATAAATGTAATCCACCACAGAAACAGTTGTAAAGCCCAATAGATGCAGATAAGTCCAACAGATGCAGAAAAAACATTTGACAAAATCCAACACATTTTCTTGATAAAAACCCTCAAACATCAGGCGTCAAGGGAACATTCCTCAAAATAATAACAGTCATCTATGACAAACCTGTAGCCAACATCATACCTAATGGGCAGAAGCTGGAATCATTGCCTTTAAGAACTGGAACAAGACAAGGATGTCCACTCTCATGACTCCTATTTAACAAGGTGCTGGAAAACATAGCTGGAGTAATCAGGCAGGAGAAAGTAATTAGAGGCATCCAAATAGGAAAAGAGGAAGTTAAATCATCTCTCTTTGAAGGTACTATGATTCTATATCAAGAAAACCCTAGAGATTCTGGAAAACAAACAAACAAAAAAAACCAAAAACCGGAGCACTGAAAAATGAATTCAGTAAAGTCTCAGGATACAAAAGTCAATGTAGAAAAATCAGTTGCATTTCTATACACCAATAGCAAATATGCTAAGAACCAGATTTTAAGAAGTCTCATTCACAACAGACACACACACACACACACACACACACACACACACACACACACACCCATGCAAATACCTCAGTATTCATTTAACCAAAAATGTTAAAAGGCTTTACAATGAGAACTACAAAATAAGTGAAAGATGTCACAAACAAATGGAAGACCATCCTGTGCTCACAGACTGTAAAATCAATATTGTCAAGATGTCCATACTACCCAAAGCAATCCACAGATTAATCACAACCCCTACAAAATTAGCAGCACCATTCTTACAGACCTAGAAAGGACAATATTAAATTCACATAAAAGCAAGACAAAGAGCCTAAATAGCTAATGCAATCCTCAGCAAAAAGAACAAAGCTGGTGGCATCACACTTCCAGATTTCAAACTTTACTACTGGTACAAAAATAGACACACAGAACCATGGAACAAATAAAGAACCTTGAAATAAGACAAAGGACTTTGAACCAACTTACCTTTGACAACACTGAAAAAAACATTGGAGAAAGAATTCCATATATAGCAAATGGTGCTGGGAAGTCTGTCTAACCACATGCAGAAGAATGAAACTGGACCTCTACCTATCACCATATACAAAATTTAACTCAAAATGGATCAAAGGTTTTTATGGGAAACCTCAAACTATGCAAATCTTAGAAGAAAATCTAGGGGACATCTTCTTGGACCTTGCCTTCCCTATAAATAAATGATCAAGTCCTCAAAAGCAAATGCAGCAAAATCTAAAATTGACAGGTGGGTCCTTATCAAGCTAAAAAGCTTCTGCACAGCAAAACAGACTACTAAGAGAGTAAAAAGATAACCCACAGAATGAGGGAAAAATTATTTGCAAACTATGAATCCAACAAGGGCCTAACATCCAAAATCTATAAGAAACCCAAGCAAATCAGCAGAAAAAAAAAAAAATAACACCATTAAAAAGTGTGCAAAGAACATGAACATACACTTCCCAAAGGAAGACATTCATACAGGCAAAAAACATGAAAAAATTCTCAGCATTATTAATCATCAGAAAAAAGCAAATCAAAGCTACAGTGAAATACCATCTCACACTAGTCAGTATGGTTATTATTAAAAAGTCAAAAAGTAACAGATGTTGGTAAAGTTATGGAGAAAATGGGATGCTTGTACACTGTTAGTGGGAATTAAGCTAGTTCAGTCTTTGTAGAAAGCAGTTTGGTGATCTCTCAAATAACTAAAAATAGAGCTAGCATTCAATCCAGCAATTCCACTTTGGGAATATACCCATAGGAACACAAATTACTCTACCCAAACACCTGCATGAGTATGTTTATTGCAGCATTATTCACAAGAGCAGAAATATACAGCCAGTCCAGATGCTCACTGAAGGTGGACTAGACAAAAAATGTGTGGTACATATGCATGATGGAATACTACCCAGTTATAAAGAACAAAATAATATCATTTGCAGCAGCACAGGTGCAGTTGGAGACCATCATTCCAAGTGAATTATTACAGAAACAAAAAACTGAATACCACATGATCTTACTCAAATGTGAACACCAAACGTTGAGCAAACATGGACACAAAGACAGGAACAAAAAACACTGGGCACCACTAAATGAGGGAGAAAAGGAGGAAATATAAGGGATGTGAAACCACCTACTGGGTACCATGTCCACTACTGGGGGTGGGGAAGGACTTGTTAGAAGCCCAAACCTCACCTTCATGCAATATACTTGTATGACAAATTACCCATGTACCCCATGATTCTGAAATTAAAAAAAACCCCAAAAACTCTTCTCCTCCTTTATGCTATATAGAATGAAATCACTGTCACAGTGAACTGGTATGTGAGAAGCTTGTAGAAGAAGCAACAGGCTCATGTCAACCTAACGAAAAAAGCATACATTAAGGGTCAGAAGACTCAGACAGAATTTTATAAATCAGAATTATATGCCCATGTAAGTTACTGTAACCACAGTTTGTCTTAAAAAAAAAAATCACTTTGTATGCTTTAGTTTCCTAAAAAGTAAACATAAGAAAAAATTGTTTCCAATAGATACTTCATTATACTTCTGTTCTTTTTTAAAAAGCAGAGTGGGAAAATAGTAAATCTCAGAGTAATGCAAAATTTAACGCTTTTTATGTTGCTTGATTTCACTTACTCTTTTCAATTATTTCCTAGTGTGTGTACTACATCCAAATCTTTAAATATGTTCCTGCATTTTCTGTTTTGGAGTTATAGTTTTAATTTTCATCACAAACATGCCTGTTTGTTCTTAAATGATACACATAATCAGCATTGTCACAGAATGTCCAAAACAACACAAATGAATAATTGTTGAGTCAATACTTATTCTGTATTCATAGCAGGAAAATATTCTTAGTTGTAAATTATTTTAAACCCTAATTAAAATACTTAAACACATGTAAATAGCTTTAAAACAGGAATTTAGTTTCAATATCTAATCTTAAAATATCTTTAGAAAATGATTAAAATGAACTGGTAATGGTATGGAAATATTTAAGTAAATTAATGCTATAAACAATCAGATAAAAATGCACATTCCAAAAGCTTTTATGAAATGGAGAACAAAGAACAGATTAGGTTTCAAGCAGATAGAAAAATGAAATAATAGGGGTCAGAGATATTAAATGGATATTACAGTCTTTATATCTGATATTTATAACATAATCCATTTTTATGATGTCTGCCTTAGGTACTTAAATTGTGTACATTGTTTGATCAATTTTTTTCAGTAAATTGAGCATATTTCCATTTATTTTGATTCAACAATTTTAGATTGCTTTAGGATTCTACAGTAGTCTGAGTTATATTTGATGAAACAAACTACAGACCACATGGAATACTCCTTAGTATCATTTAGACTTTCACTGTCAAGATCTAGAGATATATAATTTGAGCTTTACTTTTTGAGTTGTGATAAACCATTTCATGTTGAGGTCATAACATACCAGTTTTCCTCTCTTAAATTCACTAAACCAACTTCCTGGTTTCTCCTTTGGCCATGATGAAATTCTTACCTATCGCAAAGGAAGAGAAAAAGTAGAAAGTAGGTGAAAATTATGAACAGTATTGCTTATGTACATATACGTCATTTTCAGTGAGACTAAGAAGCTAAAGAACTTTCAAAATACTTTTAAAGCTACACAAAATGAGATTATACAGAACTCTATACAATGGGATTACGCAAAATGGGTTATAATGAGATAAAGAGGGAAATTGGAGACAGATCCGGTAATTTGCATGCAGTGAAGATTGAGTCATTTCCTCCCTATTCTCTTGACTGACTCAAAAAGAAAAGGCAGAAACCACCTGGTAAAGGTATACTAAGGACTCTAGGGGAGATTAGAAGAATACTTCGCAACCCTTTGAAAAGGAAACCCTCAACGTGTCAGTCAACATCAGCCTGCAAGGCAGGTACTATCTGCATTCCCCAGCCAATGGAGATATTTGAAAGTATTCAGCCAGGAACCAAGGAGAGATGCTACAGGAAAGTCACTGGTAGGAAGCAAGCCTTATCATTCCCTGCTGTGAAGAACAGATCCACATTTATTGTTTTGCTTTGTAAAGATCAGCAAAATAAGGGTATATAAGTCCTCACGATAGGGAACTTGAGTCATCAATTCAAGGGGAGGCATTTTCCATGTTCCCACATTTCTCCGGAGACTAGGGGAGCTTTATAATGCTTTGCCACATGCCAAGTGGTGCTGGGAGATGGAAGTTGCTTTGCCCACTGTCCCTACTATCCACTTTTTACTCACAAATGCAACTTTTCTCCTAAAAACAGCCACATGTAAAGCTACTAGCTTTACCTTAAGGAATTTCTGCGCCTCTGTATGTCCACACTGTACATGAGGGTTATTACATGAATACAAGTAATGAAAAGAAGTTCCATTTTAAAATGTTTTAAGAAAATACTTATGCTAGCAAAAAAGAAATATTTCCTTATAATAATAATCTGCATTTAACTTACAAGATAGGACTCAAGAATATTGATACTGTTAGGGGAAAATGAAAAAATCTGTCTAATCTTTAAAAAACATGTACATGCAGAGAATACTCTCATTTTATATACGAGATTAATTCTTTACACAATTGGATATATTGGGCATAATACACAGCTGTGAGTTCTACCATGTGGTGATTGGGCAGAAGAATAGTATACATGCACTAAGATTTGAGATTCAGCTGTGCTGTGTCATGGAAAGCAATAGAATTTTAGAGCGCAAGCAGGTGCATGAAAATACATCTGGTAAGAAATAAGGGAGAGAAGTATTTGTTAACTCTGTGCATCACTTTGGTGCCTTATTCATGTTTATGCAAATGAAATGCTCTAATTACCCTGGAAGAAAAGCAGATAAATGAAAATATGACAGTATAATTTTCCTGCTTAGTTCAATATTGCAAAAACATGGCAGGAACTGTCAACATTCACCACCAAAACAGATTGGTACTTACTCCCTCAGATTTTTTGTCTGGATAAATGCACGTCTCACCACCAGATGTGAAATTACAGTAAACTTTGAAAGAATCGCCTGAACAGCCTTGGTTAGGATCAATCCAATATTCACCTAGAAGATAGCAAAAAATATGTCACATACAAAATCATTGATATCAAAGTTGAATGCCTTAGATATCACATTTTATGACAAAGAGAAATAAAAAATGCACATTACAGATCTTTTCCTTTTTAAGCATTTGGGCATATTAGGGTTTATTTATTTATTTATTTATTATGAATAAAGAGTGTTACTTTATCTTATCTTCTTCGAAGCTTTGCAGACATCCCATAAACTGCCAGGAATGCCTTTTTTAAAATTCTTGTGTTTATCACTTTTAACTTTCAGCTTAAATATCATCTTCTCAAATATTAACATTCTATCTATCCATGTGTAATAAATTGCATTAATATTGGAACCTGACATACTTGACTCCAAATCTCTTAAGTATTATTTACTACTTAAGTAATCTGAGTATAATAAAGATATTTTCTTCCTGGTTTATTCATTTGTATCAGTGGAGGTGAGAGTATCTCCTTAGTTTTAGGGATCATACCTTTGCCTTACTTGATAACAAAAGCTTTGTAATTTTGTTTTATTGTAATTGTACTCCCTTCTTGAATGAGGTCTTGAAAAAAACTACTTTATAATAAGTTAATGCAGTCTACTATTGATACCATTATTGAAATGTTACAAAAGAAATGTTATCATGTGAATATCTATGACCATTAATTTGGTGTTATGTTAGTAAATATGGTTAATAATCAGACTAACCAAGTATATTTTTTAAATAATTGACAATATGGTTTTTGCTAATAAGAGTTATTGGAAATCAAAATTTATATACATGTGACCATTACTTTGTTTCCTTCTGATGGGGCCCAGAAAATGATATCCCAAAGCAAAACCTCAGAAGCAGCCTCAGAAGCACAGAGTTGTTCTCTAATCTTCTGCTGTCCTGTTTCTTGCCTCTTATTCTCCACTGAGGAAAATCATAGAAACTAGACTCCTCTTCCCCAAGGTGGGTCACAGAAACCAGAACCCCTTTTCCCTAAAACAAGTTATAAATCCTAAGAATACTACTTTAACCTTCTACCTTCTTGCTGTGAAACAGTTGGCCACAGAGAAATGAAGACCTTCATTCCAGAGGTTCCTGCTTCATACCCAGGAGAAAGAAATGCTACAACAGAGAGGCCAGGAAGAATCTGAACAGAAGGACTTGCTGGGTTTCCCTACTCATTAGAGTATGAACACACATCACATTTTTGCACAGCTATCCTGCTTCATCGAACCTAAACATAAAATTAGAGCGCTTTCCCTATATCTTTGGTCATCATTCTGAGTCATGTAAAATTATAACCAAATAAATCCATTATGCTTTTCTCTTGTTAACCTGCCTTTTGTAAATAAGGCTTTCAGCTGCAACCCTATTATGGGGTAGAAAGGAGTAACTCTTCCAAACCATACACATCCTGCCATTGTTTAATGCTGCCACTTTATTTCAAATACTAACTGGAACTATATAAATCCATTGTTTATGAACTTTCAGTATCTTAAAAGCTCAAGTTGCTCAACTTAGCACTGGAACTCTCAAAAATCCAATGTCCAACTTTTTTTAATTTTCTATGACTTCTACTTTGCCTACCACTACTTGTATATAAACAGAAAATGTACTCTAATACCCAATAAGCTTCTATTATTTGTCAGATAACTTGAATAGCTTATTAATAAAAACATTTACACTTTTTAAATTATACCATTAATGCAGTCATGTCTGAAACAAATAGGAATTCTCAGGAAAAAAAAATAAAAATAAAAATCTCCAAGATTTGCACCAACCAGACGTACTCTTAATCTTTGATACTTTTTAGATGATTTTTAGACATATATGATTTTGAATTATATGGAAAGTATCATTTTTATCTTGTTTTATTTAGTTAACATTGTCATGAAATATTCTTTCGGTTAATATATTAATTGCTTAATTGTTTAAATACCTTCATTCAATAAAGTGGTTTCATATCCTATGGATACAGTGTTCAGTTGATCTCTAATTTATTCATCTCAATTTCTCTTGCCACATTTAAGTTAGATCACTGTCATCCCCTGTCTAGATCAATCCAACAACTTCTTAATCAGTTATTTTGATTCCATTTTGCTTCCTTCCAAATTACTTCAAGTAATTCCCCATTTGCTCACAGAAGCCACAGCAACCTTCTTTTAGTTTCTTAAAAACGGCAAGACCCCATCATTTTCAAAGCTTTACAAATGTCTCAAATACTCTGCCTGGAATGCCCTTTTGATTCTTAGTATGGTTACTAATACATTAAGATTTCAGTTAAAATGTTACTTCTTCAAATATTAACATTCCATTTATTTAAAATATAATCATCCTTTAATTATCTAAATACCAAGTTTTTTTCAAAGAGTCGGTCACAATATGTTATTAACATTTTTGGGTTTCTTGTCTCCATCATTAGATAATTAGTAGCTTAAGGACATTATTTTGTCGGTTCTTCTGTGAATTTCTGTGAGAAGAACAGTGAGTGACATAGATCAAAAACACATAAATATTTAACCTTAATTAATTAATTATTATATTAAAGAATTGATGAAGCTAGTTATATAGAAGCAACTGGGAGGTATAATCCACAGTTAATTTACTATTCCCAAAATGTACAATAATTTTTTCTTCACTGCTCAGGTTCTAATTAATTATATATCGTTTTATAACTCAATGCATGTGCCTATCTTTTACAATTGACTTTCAATTATGTATGATTGATTGATTATCTTATTCATCTAAGTCAGAAGTGTAAAAGTTGTACTACAATGCCATATCATATTTTCTGTATTTTTTTTAAATGCCATATACACATAGTAGGAATTTTCTGATGGACCAAAAATATTTTTAAATTTAGGAGAAGAAGGTGAAATATTCTGACACAATCTCAAACTATACCATATAAATCCTTTGCCTAAATAATGCTAGTTAGAAATATGTCTTACAAGTCACTGAACTAAATGTATCTTTTAAAGATAAAAGTATTAAATGTGAAGATCTTGGATACCAGTTTGTGTAGGAACCCTAATAACTCCCTGTGCTTTAGTTTTAACAGGATGTGCTTGATTAAAATAATAAGATGTTTATGACATTCTTCCTTTATGGTGGCTGCTTTTGAATTACATTAATTAAATACTGAATTATGTATATCATAGTTATAACGTCATCATAGGACTGATAATTCAAGATAACATTTTTGAGTGAGGAAAAGCATTTAATATAAAGTAAGATTTTAAATCTGATAAAGATCTCCCCCTTCTTAGTTTAGTAAGTATGAGTTTAGTCAACTGACTTAGCATACTTGAAACTCTTTCTTAGAGCAACAGTGATGAAATGGTTTTGTAGGTATGATAAATTATTCTGATCGTCATTACTAAGTAAGCTAGTCACAGTTGTTCTGGTTATTTGTGGATCAATCAAAGATAAATTTTTGCCACAAGCTATCCCAATTCTTAAATAGTCTGTTTGCCAAACCATTGTTAAACTGATAAATTAAATATTCATCAGTTGTTATTTAATCATATCCATATTATTCATATTAATGTAAAGTACTAATGAATTAATTTTAGTCATATGAATGTAAGTATTCATGATATTAATGCAAACTAAGTAATAATTATATTTCAATATGCACATATGTATAAACACATAATACCCATTCTGTGATAGTTATAACAAAGTATATTTGTGTTAGTTATAATCATCCAAAAATAATCTTGTCATAAGTTAATGAAACCCTATTTAACAGACAAGGATTTTCAAAGTGGATCCTGAATTATGCAACATAAATGACTTCTGTATACAAGATGTGAATTAATAATTGTTTAGACTTAGTTACAGACTGTTTTAAACATTTAACTAGAATTAATGGGCTGACAGTGCACCTCAGTAACTCAGAGGTTCAGTATATTTGCTTTGTCATGTATTATTAACATACCATCGGGGAAGTCAGGATGGCTGAGTTGCAGGTCTTTGCAGGTTCGGGCTGGATTGGTCTGAGTGCCCATTGGAAATTTCATATGCTCAATGTCTTGTTTCAGGGAATTGAGGGAACCAAATATTTCTTCCATTCCATCCGAGTAATCAAGAATATTATCATCTGCATCTGCTTGCAAGCTTTCTGTGTGTCTTCTTGTTTTTTTGGGTGACAAGATTGGTAAGGGCTGAATGACTTCACCAGGTGGACCCTGTAAAGCAGGTCATGTGAATGCAACTGTTTCAAAAAGTAAAATGTTCTGCAGATATTAGTTATTATGGGTTATGCTTTTCCTTGCTAATACGCCCTATCTCCACAACGAGATTTTCAAGTCTCTGAGAATTAGAACAGTATTTTAAGGCTCTTGTGCTATCGAATAAACTGCCTATTAAACTTGATAATGATGTATACATTTTGAAACATTAAACTTTAAAAAATATGCATACATTAGCTTGCTTCAAATATGCAAAACTCAAGTCTTTATAAATTAACAAATTTAAAATAAATACATCCAGAATTGAATTTACATGAAGAATAGAGCTGTGACAAATAGTTAATCCATGTTGTTATAGATTGAATTGTGTCCCACAAAATTCATATGTTGAAGTCCTAACTCCCAGTACCTCCAAATGTGATCTTATTTGGAAATAAGCTTGCTGAGTATATAATTAGTGGAGATGAGGTCATTAGGGTGGGCCTTGACACAATATGACTGATAATCTTATAAAAAGGAAAAATTTGAAAATAATGACACACAGAAGGAAGATCATGTAAAGAGACTCAGAAAAAAGACAGCTACCTACAAGTCAAGGAGAGAGGTGAGGAATAGAAACTAACACCACTGACACTTTTATCAAGGACTTCAGCCTCCAGGACTGTAAGACAACACATTTCTGTTGTTTAAGTCACCCATTCTGTGAGACTCTGCTCTGGTAGCCCTAGCAAATGAACGCCCATATAGTTGGACATACTTTAGCTCGAGAAAAGAACCAAAATTTCTTTCACATGCATTTATATTTTATTTCTGCCACCTAATAGCTGTGTGGAGTCTGGCAAATGTCAGTATTAATAAATGGTGGCTATTATTATGGCTTTGTATTACTATCATTATATATTCACTAAAAAAAGTCAAGCATCTGAACTTAGGTCTTTATTCTTAGAGTCAGGTATAAATGCATCTTTGTGGCATACAACCATTAAATTTGGCTTCATTAAAATGTAACATAAAAAAGTACATGATTCTCTTGAAAAAATGAATGAAAACAAGGATATTATAATATATAATTAAGGTATCACTATATTTAAAAAGTGAAATCAATTTTGGCATGGGAACCTGATTCTTAAATGATATAGTTACCCTTTCCTATAAAATCAGCACTTTTGACAGAAAGTGCTTTTTCATTCATCCTATGAATTCAGAGAAATCATTGGCAGCCTCCAGATGTGAATTATCAGAACATCATTCTTGTGAACAGCCACTTACCGGAGGCCCAGGAGGTCCTGGAAGACCACTGTCACCTTTCTGGCCAGCAGGCCCCTGTGAGAAAGGAAAAGGGAGAGTTCATGAATAGAAAACAGGCAACTGAATAGGTTTCACTGAAACATTAAAATGTGAAAGGGAAAAGTACTTACACTAGAGCCTTTGTTACCCTTTGGACCTTGAGGACCCTAGAAGATGTACGGGAAAAAGCACAGATAAAAAATCAGGAGCATTGCAACTCAATGGTATACACATCACTTAACACTACCCTACGGAATTATTTTGTCTTCTACTTACCGGTAAGCCTGGAGGACCAGGTGGACCTATGGGACCAGCAGGACCTGGAATACCCTAGAGAGAGAATCATCCAATTTAAAGAGTGTTCCTCATCTATTCCATTTCCATGTTTTGCATAACAAACACATTGACAAATGTAGAGAATTCAAAAATACTTCTATACCATTGTGCATCTAAGACATTACTTTTACAAAATAATCTGATAATTTTTCTAATTTTGTTACTGTCTATAAGCTTCCTCTTTTAAATATATACATATATATATAAAACTTTATGTTTGTGCTATCCTCAGAATAAGATTTCCACGTGATGAAAATTCAGTAGTTCAGCTACTGAACTGTCATTTTTATGATTTCTAATGTAAATCATATTTTTAATTTATTCACTCTAACGTTAAATAAAAATTTCTTTTTGAAAACATCACTCATTTAAGCAGATTAGAATAAAGACACCCTAAATTACTTCTTTGATCACATTTAAAAGAATATGCAAAAGTGTGTGAGTGTGTATCTCTAAGAAGTAGTAGCAAAAATCATCTATATTTTTACTCACCCCATCACCCTTTACTCCTGGGGATCCTTGAGTTCCAGGAAGTCCTCTGTCTCCCTTTTCCCCTTGTTCTCCTGGAGGACCAATCAGGCCAATTAAACCAGGATGTCCCTTTAGAAGGCAGAGAAAGGAAACTTTAATAATATGTAAATCACAACCATAATTAAAACTTTTTCATAAAATATTTGCACATTAAATTCATAAAACATAAAAATAGAAAATGCAGATAAAAAAATTAAAATAATTCTTATGAATAGAATACAGGAACCATCCTTCCTTCACCTAACCAGATCATTTACTGCTTGCTTTAAGTTATGGATTTATTAAGGGTTGGGAGTACTATGAAACAAAATGCTTTCTAATAATATCATCTACAGTGTTTCATTTGGGGAACTATCTCAACTAAAAGACACATAAAAATCGAAAGCTCATTGTTTAATAAGCATCTCATTTAACATGAAATGGTTTCTATTCTTACATACTTCACAGTCTTTAAAAAGCATCTGGAGATTTAAAAATTATCCAGACAATATTAACACTATTCTAAAAAAGGCTTATTTTTTCTATCAATTTGGTGCAACTCAGCACAAATTCTGGAGATCAAATTACTATTTGAAAGACATTTCTTGTTTAAAATTATTATGTTCATGTTTTAAAAAACAAAAATTGTTATTTTGTTATTCCATCTGTTTATTTTCTGAATAGTTATTTTAGTATAACCATATGCTTTCTTCATATGGCTCTACCAGGGAACACTGGAAAGATATAGCACTGAATTCTGGTACATTTTTCACTATTTACTTATTTTCTTCTCTCTAAATATATCTGAGAAGCTCAGGATTGACAGTCTTTTCCATGGTTAGAATGATAAAGATATTGCTTGAAGTCGCCTTTTAATCTGCAAAAACAATTGCCTTTACTATCAGAATATCAAAATTGTAATTCTACATTATTTTCTTCTCACCTTTTCACCCTTGGAGCCAGGGTCACCTTTGAGACCAGGTAAGCCAGGAGGTCCCTAAATAATAAGAAAAAATAAGTAAAAAATACAGTAGGTAGGAACTAAAGAATCATATTACTAGTCATAGAGCTAGTTTGGTTTTGAAATGTAGAGTTCAAATATAGTTAATAATGATGTGTTAATTTATTTTTCAGAACTCTAAGTAAATTCATATGTTTAAAGTAACCTGGTTTTAATCTGTCACCATAATATTGATAATTTTTATTAAATACATATGATGCTACAAATTGGGCATGGCTTATATGGCTTTTGAGAAGAAAGTGTAAACTTTTCAGTATACTATTTTTAGAAGGGATTTCCAAATTACACAACTAGTCAAATATTTTTATGCCAAGCAGATTTCAAAGATTGCAACATTCAGTACAATTTTTAAAAACACTAAGCTTTTGGTCGTCAATTGATCTCTTATGACCACAAAAATAATTTAGACAAAAAATTTAATAAACTATGTTTATATGCTTCAGAATGGTTGCCGAATATTCTATAGAATAAAAAGCTTATTTTTATACATGCTAACTTAAAAATGGAGGTCTGTCATTCTCTTACAATATGGCCAATTTTCTGAATTCCAATTTCAATTCTTAATCTTTGTTCTTTTGAATGTAGACATAATTTCACTATGATTGCCAGAGAGAATGAAATACTGAGAATATCTAATAATCTCTACACCATCTTGCATGTGTAAGTTGCCACACAGTTTACAAAACTATCTTAATAACACATCTTTGATTCTGATACAACAATTCTGATAAAGTAACTATTTATGCCCTTTTTACTTGTGAAAAACTGAATCTTCTTACTTCTAAATACCAAAGCTGGGATTAAAATTCAGGACTCTGGTTCCAGGTTTAACATTCTTTAAATCATGATTTATTAGACTACTTAAATTGATAGAGATAACCAAGGAGATGGCGGTGCTATCCAGGAAGGTAAAACTAAAGATATTCCAAAAGAATAATTAGACAATTTCACAAAACTACTAAAAAAGGTAAGTTTTTAAGGAAGTGGACTTATCTGGACTCTAAAAATTTGAGAGGAAAAGATTTCTATGTAGACAAGAGAGTAAGAGAGGGTACCATTCATTGTGAAACTTGGCTGTGAGGGATTTGGGAACAAAAAGAAATATCAAAACTTGAGTCTTGAACTGAAAATCCCTACTCACGAGCCAAAAATGGCCTTAGAAAATTATAATATAGGGACATTTGATTGTCATTATATAGCTGTTTCAGAACTTATGGTATTTGGTGGTCTTTCTTAACAATTTACTGCCATCAGAACACTTGAAAATCCAGGATGCCAGAATGATTAAGGCAATTCTAACCTTGATCTATGACTAGGTTTCTAGGTTATAGATTCTAGAGAACTGGTATAAGTTATTCCTGCCATATATTCTCAAATAATTTTAGGAATTGATACAGTTTTAGAAATGATCAAATATGATACCATTCCTTTTATTCACAATGAAACAGTCAATCATGTGAGATCACAGAATATGCCAATGAACAATGCATGTACTTGAACTCAAGTCTTTTGACTTGAGTCAATGTTCTTTCCATGGAAAATAATTACTATCTTCTTTCATCACGTTTCAAAATATGTACATCAAAGGTGAGAAGTTTTCTTTTTTGTTTTGTTTGGTTTTTGTTGTTGTTTTTCCTTCTGATTAGTTTGTTGGAGCTCACTCATGGCTGATTACTAAATTTTTCCACAGACTTTTTTAGTTTTCAAAATTCCTGTAATACTTGGGAGTATTTGCCTTTTCCTTATTACACTCCCAAGATAATACTTTTAGTTATAATTTCTAAATTGAATCTCATAGTAAATGATTTAGAAAATTAATAATAAAGAAATTTACTTTTAAAATACAAATATATCTCTATTTTAAACATTCTCATAGTCCAAAGCTATGACATTTATCCTTTTATGTAGTTATATTTTTTGAAAATTATATCATGACTTTAAAACTAACTCCAAGTCCTGCCTCTCACCGAGGAAATTTTCATATTGATGAGTTTTGAACAAACTATTTTACCTACAACTTGGTGCACTTTGGAGTTAACACAAAATAAGAATGTTGTTCCAAAATTATGATAAGCAGCACTATGCAGCTAACAGATGCTGTCAGAACAAGGGTAATTGACATTAAACAATGATTTATATATATGTAACATAAAATTGGGCCAAGATAATTTAGGTAGGTCACTACTGCCTACAAGTAAGGCACCAAGCCAAAAAAGAAAAAAAAAGCAAACTGTCATATAGTTTCTCTATGAGCTTGAATTATTTTGACTGAATTGAATTATTTGAATTCCAATTTCCACCATGATTTTGATAATGACACTTAGAAAGCAAATTGCTTTATTTGTACCAACCTTTACCATGAGTCACCACTACCACATCTTCTGCAAGGTGACCATGAGTTCTTCTTTCTCCTGCCTATAGAGACTTTGATCCTTCAGTGTGAAAATGCACATGGTATCATAGTCCACCGTTTGTAAATTTAAAGGATTAAGAGTTATGAATCCAACCTGAACAGTGTAAGGCACTAGGAAATGTATGGGTTCAGAGCAGGCTAGGTCTGACATAGAAGCCAAACTATCTTAATAATCTGAGCTGCAAGCTGAGGACTGTAAATCCCATCTCCTAGGGCTGATGCAAGAATGAGCAGATGGCTCTCTCCAACTTTCAGTATCTAATGTCTCCAACTGAAATTCTTCAGATCAGGGAGAGTAATATAAATATAAATTAGTTCTTGTGTAATGATAGTATTTTGGGTTATTATAAGGTATATTTATATTTGTATGAATTTGTAATTCTCTAACCACAAAAACGAACAATTTTCCTACATTAAAAACTGACAAAATTATTTTCATAGAAAGCATGTGCAATTTTAAGTGTGGGTACATTTAATAATAATCTTTTAATAAGGAGAAAATTATTCATCTTTAGACATAAGTTTATGTCAATTTAGTTAGATTCTCTTTGGTAAATGTAAACAAATTATCAAATACACCCTCAAATACATAATCCCCCATTAGTTGCTATTTTGCTTTCCACAGAAAAGACTGTATACACAGTTAAGCATAATAAAAATGCTAATTATTTATCATTATATTTAGATGCTACAGGATGAGGTCTTACCAATTTTCTCATCCCATTCTAATAGTAAGAGCTAACATGGCAAAAAAAAAAAATTACTAGTAATTCTAATTTCTCAGACTAAATGAGAAATATTGTATATTTTATACTATATATTCTTTATAGCCTACATATATATCCTATATATATATATAATATCCTTTCTGTAAATATTATTCATGAAGGAATTAAAGGGAATGAGTATTAATTTCACTAAGCTAATAATATCTCATGAAATTACAAACTATATCTTTGGATGAATTTGCCAAACAAAATCAGTTTTTTTTTTTTATTTTTACCAGTTGGAACTCGAAATTGGTAACATTATGATATTGAGAGCAGTTATAAACAACCCTCTGAACCTGAAACAGATCAAAAGCATCAACTCTGCATATAAAAATGTCACTTCCAAGTATACATATTTTCTATTTTCTCTTTAGGATATTGTAAATTGAAAACCCCTAGGGAAATACATAATTCATGAGTAATAAAGTGAAAAGGAAAATAGGGACACTACATTCTTAAGTGTCTTGAATACACAAGCACACATTTTCCCCTCCAGTATTATGCTTTATGGAACATTTGCTTCGATCTGCATGTCATAACTCTAGAGCATGGAGGTTTAAATAAACTGCAGATCCTACACTTTATTTAGGAGATGAAATTGTGAAATAATGTTGAATTGGGTGAAAAGCAAATGCTTTGTTATTTAAATATTTTTAATTATTATGGAATGCCACCTATTTCCACCTGTTTACAGATAGTTTAAATGAAGCATTAAAGAAAAAAAATCAAACTGTACATCAATATTCCATCCTACCTTTTATTCAGGCTTTTATGGTTTGAAAAATAGTGCTATCAGATACCTTATCATTTGTGAAAGGAAGTAATGTACAATGATACTAAAGTAAATTTGTTTAATGAAAAATACTAAATACTTTTTCAGTTACATTGGAACAAATAAGTTCTTAAAATGAAAGAACACAAAGCAAAAAAACTGAATAAACTTAAAACTAAAACTGACGTCAATTATGACTAAAAAAGTCAAATAAATCTTTCTAAATCATGTCAATTTTGACTTTGTAGCATAGAGCACAATTTAGACACCATCACTCTTTCAAATAATCATTCTTATTCCCATTTAATGTTTGCTGACTGTTCAAGTAAAATTCTAGTACAATTTTTTTTTAAATCTTTAAAAATTTCAATAGCATTCCACTAAAAAGAATTCTAATAGAATTCTTCATACACTCATTATAATCTTTAGCATTTGAATAGCTCCCACATGTACTATTTTTCTATACTCAGTTCCATATGGAGATTCTAAGTGTTTATGTCTGTGTTTGTATATATATGTGTGTATATGTGTTTGTGTTGAATTCATGTATATAAACTAATTTTTAATATAAGAAACATCTACCTTTTAAAGTAAAAAAATAAATCCTGTATTATGTCTAAACTCTAGCAGAGCTGATAACATAGAGTGGGCAGACACCTAGCAGAAATCATTTTTAAGTGATTAAAAATATCTGTTTGTTTTACTCTTCCCCAAAGAATTTCATCTCCAGAAGGTTCCAATAAAAATGTTAAACTGGTTTCTATATAAGTAATGTAATTTCGGTTAGTTAGCTCTACTGTCTAATCCAGTAGCTGCCAATCTATGAAGGTACGTGAGTTGTACTTACTGAACAACTCAGCTGTATTTAAAAGTTGGGGGAAAGGGGGAAGACTTGGTGGCATTGTCTGGAACAGTACTGTAGGGAGTTACAGGTAGCTTCCAGAAGGGGAAAGGTGACCCAGGGGATACATGTGGAACTCGGGTGATAAGTAAGCTGAAGTCTGCGTAGACCTGGATGTGA